GAATCAAGAAATTGAAATTGGCTGGTTGTGTATTAAAGAAAATCTAAAGAAAATCGTCTGGTCTGTCTCGGTCTTAAGGCGGCTTCTCACTTTCGTGCCGCAGGGCAATCTAGGACGAACAGCGATCGGGGCAATATCAGAACTGTCTCTACACACATGCCTGCCATTCTATGTGAGAGTGTACGTCTCGCTGGACACACGTGTTGAGAATGGCGCTAGTTTTATCAAAATATAAATGAATCGGTAAATATAGCCTTGGCTCTTTTTATATAGAAAAAGGGTGACAAATGAGCACAGTCCACTTGACGTTAAGTAGATACTGTGGCCCATAGACACCCATATTTATTGATAAAACAACTAATTAATTAATAATTGCACCCATAACACAGTCTAAAAGCTGCAGTATGACTCTACCACGTTTAAAAACGTTACGAAGTTCAGATAACGTTCTTTTTGCGGTGCTACCGCAAAAAAAAAAAAAGACAAAAAGGAGATACTGGGTGAAGAAGCCGCCTCTTTATACACTTCTATCACCAGTGGCCAAATTTTATATGTTTTATTGGTATCCATTATGACGTGTGCTGCATGCGAAAGTCGCTTACGAACTATTTAAAATTGCCCCATTTGCGTTACACATGTGTAGCAGCAGCAAAATAACTACACCAAAAAAGAATGAACGAGGTAAATCTGTATAGTATGCGACAGTTTTGAAATCACTGCTCTGCATAACATAATAAATTCGATATATACAGTGTGAAAAGAAATACCTACTTTGAATAAAATAAGGTACGTTGGGGTAAGATCGGTGATGGGGCAAGACCGTAGGATTCAAATTCCCGGCGAATTATGCTATATTTTGAAAAGCTAACAATATGCTACACGACGCCATTTCATCCTGCCCCGACCCTCAGTTCGCGCCAGTCACTCCGGCAAGTGGGACCTGTGCTGCGTGGCATTTTATAAAACAATGTAATTTTTGTATTATTTTTGTCCATCCGATCTTTCCCTATCACTTTTATTTACGATTTTTAGCGAGAATATAGCTCCTTTTGTTATTATTTTGTGTGGATACTAATTTTTATGAAGTTATAGCTAAATAAAGCTGGTCCATGCAGGGGTAAGATCGCTGTAGGCCGAGATCCGATGTTTCCCCTCGTGAGTGAAGATCGGATGAATATTATCCGATCTTTGCCTGTTACAAATATGGCAGTGGTTGTTAAACTTTCATTGGTCGTGTATATTTTTTCGTTGATTACTCAAGTGACTATGGGACTCAGTCTCGTTAGCAAGTCTGTATATTTAAAAGTAATAAAACAATACGATGGTTTTATTACTTTTAAGTACACATTAAAATAAATTTTTTTTTATAGGATAAGGGTGACAAAGGAGCACACAGTCCATCTGATGTTAAGTGATTACTGCGGCCCATAGACATCTATATCTATCCTCTATTACAAATCAAAATGTAATTTATAATAATTATTTAAAAAATAATTTAATAAATGCCGCTTTGTTAAAATATTTATATCTTCCTTAACTCCTGCATTATCCCAGGGCATTTCGCCAGTCCTTACTGTTATTTTTTTTTCCCATATAAAATCAAATGCATCCGATCTTTCTCTTATATTGAGTAATTCCATCTTATGTCATAACAAAGTTTGAGAAACATAAAATTACAATTTCTTTATATCAGGGATAAGATCGGATGGCAAAAAACAAAAAAAGAGAAAATCGTTTGGAACATTTATGTTTCTAGTAATTTATAGATCATATTGAAATATGTTTTTGAGCGTTAAATATAGGACAAATCTCTTTTATAAACTTTTGTCTCTAAGCAGTAGAAGTGGTTTTAAATTTAAGTCCGGTCTTACCCCTTAATGGCCAATTTTTCATTATGCATATAAAAAAGTATGTCTAGTTTTCGCACACCTTTAAAGCAGAAACCGTTGAGTTTACACAAGCAAAAGATTCTCAGAGCTAAATTACGTTTAACGATTAACGGTTTGCTCCAGGTTCCATAAATCTGACGTATAAGAATGTCGAGAAATTAAAGTTTTTGGCAGACTCTTCCAACTATTCGAAAATCCGTCCGGTATTACCCCAACGTACCTTACTTGCCGTCGCAAAGGAGGACCTAGACTTTTCAAGGCGTAAGGCAACTCTAAGGCAAATAATGGTGGGATTCACTGGGCTATAAATTCAAAAAGTACCAAAGCAATAGTTTAGCTCTTAAACAAATGCTTAACATAAAAGGCGATCTTTTTGTTTGTCCTATATAAGAGAGACCACATTAGCAATCAAGCTTGTACACTCCTGCATCTTGTAGAGGGATATTATACTTGACGGATGGTAAAAATTGACTAATCTTCTTCGGCGGCTTGAAGTATGTTTTAATAGAAGCTCGCTTCAAAATGTAGCCAACCTTGTCTGTGACTCCTCTGACATAGGGTAGTACAGCAGACACACGCTCGACTGTGGTCGGCTTCACTCGGTCACTGTGACGTAGGCGCGGGACCCGAAGCTTGTTGTCTTGCAATACTTGCTCGACGTGTTGAAACTCGGCGTTCAGATGTTTTCTGTCACAGATCCCTCGTGCTCTCTGAAACAAAGATTTTCTCACGGTAGTTAACTGTGATGGATGATAGTGCGATTCACCATTTAAATATCGGTTGGTATGGGTCTTTTTCCTATACACAGTGTGACCAATGGTGTTATCAGGTTTTCGGATGACTAAAACATTTGATAGACCACAAATCCTCGCAAAAGAATACCGATTCCTACCAAGGATGATACGCGAGGCTATTGAAATAAAAAGCATCCTAATTTCAATACAGAAGATGGATGGGTGCTGCCATCTGCTTAAGATCCTATAATTAACAAAACTAATTCCAAACCCAAGCATACCACTGCTAGACTTCAAGATACTGTAAGTTCATTCTGTGTAAATTGAACCAAAAATTAATACTAAAACTGTAGGTAGCCGGGCTAACTGTGACATCGGGACGTCAAATATCTCAGTCCCTCCCGTGACCATGGGTTGCTGCAAAGCACCCGAAACGTCGGGAATTAAAATAGTGAATTAAACGCGATAAAATCCGTAAAAAATAGTTTTATTCAATATGTAGTGTTCGCGTAAATATAAGAAATCAACATGCAATGATTGTCACGGACAATGCCCCACAGCATGGAAGCCCTGTATGCCCCTAAATATGAACTCGAAAAAGCATAAATGCAGTCACAGCTAAGAGAAAAAAAAATATCGATTATCAGGAATATTTTACAAAAGCGGTACTCTACGAGTTAATAAAAGGCATAAGCCGCTCAATTAAAACTATGTCATAGACAGTATTTTTACGTCCCTTGGTTTTGAAGTTTTGGTACTACCCCCCTAAAATATCCATTTAAATCCAATTGAATATATTTAGCACTTGATTAAATGTAGGGTCACAGACAAAATGTTCAACAGTTAGAAAGCTAAGTTGAGAACCTAACAGTAGAATCTAGAAGCAATTGCTACAATTACCAGTGACAGTTGGAAGAAAAAAATAAACCACGTGAAACGAAACGAAAATGAATACTGGCAAAGGCAGATATTTCAAAACGATTATAACTTTAGTTTTATTGTAAACTTCAACAAAAATTATTAAGAATAACTCAAAAACTGCTGGTCAGACTTTGATCAAATTTATATGAGACCACATGTGAAGCACCAGCTTTCAAATTAAAATCATCGAATTCGGTTCACCCAGTAAAAAGTTATGAGGTAACACACATAAAAAACACAGTCGAATTGAGTACCTCCTCCTGTTTGAAGTCGGTAGAAAATGAAGAATCAATGTAGTCAAAGTCAATTAAAACGCATTATTAAGAATAACTCAAAAAGTAATAGTAAAGCCTTGATCCAATTTATATGGGACCACGTGAGAAGCACCAGCTTTCAAAAAAAAGTATCATCAAAATCAGTTTACCCATAAAAAAGTACTAAGGTTCATAAAAAATACATTTGAATTGAGTGCCTCTTCCTATTTTTTAGAAATCTTATTTTTTTGTGAATAATAAGTCTGTGGAATATTTTAAATACCTACATAAATATATGTTCTATTTTTTATGAGCGGCATTGAAGTGCTAGAATCCGATTAAAACTTTTTCTTTCATGGTTCTTTTGTATTTATTTATATATAAATATTATTGCAATAATATCTGCTTTGCTCACTCTACCTACCTGGTTTGAATTTACGGCAATGACGTCACATTAAGGCGCCTGGTCACTCCTATTCTGCTGAATTTTATTTGGTGTTCATACTCGCTATGCGCACCATAGATAAATATATATGTAGCAAGCTAATGTGCACTTTATAGCTTGCTTACGCATGCTCTTCAACGCGTGCTAAAACACAAACTAGTTGTTTTAATTTTCAAGGCCGATTTACATTATCTTAGTGTTTAGGAGAGTGCTTTAGGATAGTACTTTAGTTGAAACATGTAAACGCTACTTGCTTTAATACGGTTCTACTTGACTTTCAAGTTGAATCAAAATAGAATCGCTTTTTATTTTTGTTTCAAGTTATACCCCTCCCCCGCGCCCGCGCAACCCCCGGCGCGTCACTCAGCACTAATCTGTGCACTCAGATCTTCCATCGTTGTGTGTAAACACGTAATTTAGTAAAATCTTTAGGAGAGTGCACAAGTGCCGTGAAACACGTGCGTGTTTTTTGATTTTTAAAGATGGCTAAAGTCCCGCTGGGTTTCTTGCTGGTTCTTCCCAGGACAGAGGGTTTTTCCGAACCAGTGGTAATCAAACAAAAGAGTGACTTTCAATAAGTATTATTTATAATCTATATTGAATAAAAAAGTTTCTGTTTCTGTTTCTATAGTCGGAAGATACAACTATCAAATTTGTATCTGAATATGTTGTTCACGAATGTTTGTGGAACGTTAAAAACAATTTATACAAAAACAAACAGGCTAGGCATTCGGCATACACTGCCTTAAAAGAAGCTATGGGTATTCTTGGCCTCGACGTTAACGCGGTTATCACAAAAGTGAGTAATTAATGTAATTAATTAATTATGTGATTTATCAAATCAATGTAATTTTTGTAACTTTTCTAGTATAGTAGTTTCTACTGATTTATTAATTGGTTCACTGATCCCGCTGATGGTAAATGTATGTGCATGTGGGTGTGTGGGTGTGTGGGGGGGTGGGGTGTTGAAGTTATAATAATAACAAAATTTTTTCTATTAACAGTTTGTTTTGTATTTCAGATTAAAAACATAAGATCAACTTATTCACAAGAGGGAAAGAAAATTAACAATTCAATGAAATCTGGAGCTGGAGCAGATTCCATATACAAGCCGAGTGTAAAATGGTTCGATATACTACACGATGTGTTACGAAGCGGAAACCTAGAAAATAGAAAGACGCAGAGTAATATGGTATGATTTTTTTCTTACATAAAAATTAATGTATCATTCGTGCCTGCCAGGAGACAGATCCTTCGCCCATAAAATAGTCTGCAAACTTTTCTCATCTGACGTGCGTTTTGCGACGAATGGTTGTACATGTGTCTAGGTATTGGCACAAGTCCCTCTGAAGGTAACTGTCTTCAGCTCCCTTCTACAAAATGTTCGTTCTCAGTGTCTTCAAAGTCCATTGTTGTAATATCGAACTTTTGATGATTCTGAGCCAAATGTGTAAAGCACAGCAAGCTTTTACAATTTTATCAACAGTGTTTGGGCAGTAAGGCAGTGGTTTTCCGAATATTTGAAATCTACTAACTAATATCCCGAAAGCGTTTTCAACAATACGTCTAGCACGAGACAACCGGTAATTAATTTTTTTTTCTATTTGTGTTAAATTTTGTCCTCCGAATGGCTTCATCAAATAAGGCTTCAGAGGGAAGGCAGCATCTCCGACTATAACATGATGTTCTGGTAGCAAGCCATTTTCCAAAACATCACTTAAGTTGCAGTTTCGAAAAACTCCTCCATCGGATATTCTACCATTGCACCCGATATCGATATATGAAAAACAATAGTTGTCATCTACCAAAGCCATTAATACAAGGCTATTCTGTTGCTTGTAATTATAGAAATAGCTTCCTGCTTCAAATGGAGCTTTAATGACGACGTGCTTGCTGTCAATTGCTCCACAACACCCAGGAAAGTTACAAGATTTTCTAAAGCCATTTGCAATTGCCTCCCACTCTTCAGTTTCTTGGTACCTGAAAGAAAAAAAGAATATTTGTATTATTTTAACTAGCTGCCGAAAATATTTCACTGACTTAAGTGTATTATTTTTATTTCAGAATACCATTGAGGATAAAGAAGACATGGAGGAGAATCAAGGTGCTCGAAATTCTAAGCTTGTTAGTATTGATGATAGGCCAGTTTCTGATCTAACCCACCCTTCAAGAAAAAGAAATATGAGAGGTCTGAATTCACTTCTAGACAAAGCAAGAGTAGTGGTAAGCGAGCTCAACACAGAATCAATGATCGAAAAAGAAGGCACAAACGAATTCGAATTGTTTGGCAAAAGTGTTGGCGTCCAACTAAATTCCATGAGTTTAGAAAATGCTTTGCGGGCGCAAAGCGTGATACAAACCTATCTTACAAAAGTGCGATTGCAGGAATTAAAAACCTGCAATCGCACTTTTGTTCTTCCTACACCATCTCCGAGTTATGTGCCTACACCATCTCCGAGTTATGTGCGTACACCATCTCCGAGTTATCTGTCTACACCATCTCCGAGTTATGTGCCTACACAAACCACTTATGAGCATACGTCTACTCAAGAAGCTCCTACAGATAGTGGACAATCATCTATGTCTGAAATACCTCACTCTGTGTTTATTGTGACATATACTCCTAATATTTCATCTGATACAGCACATTTCAGCCACGACGCTGCAATAAATCTTGATAGGGGTGATTTGCTTGATCTAAGTGACCAACAAACTGCAGCTCAACAAAATAATGATATCTTATCACAGGCTATGGCAAATATTCCTATGTAGACATCGAACAAAATTACTAATCAATGTAAATTTGTTCAATGTCTACATAGGAATATTTCATTGTTCCAAAGTATTAAAGTTATGTGATTTATTATTAAAGTTTTATAAAGTTATGTGACAAAATTACCCAGTTTCAAGTATTAAAGTTATGTGATTTATTATTAAAGTTTTATAAAGTTATGTGACAAAATTACCCAGTTTCAAGTATTAAAGTTATGTGATTTAATATAACTACACGATGTTTTATTTGCTCACCTGTATAAATTCCTCCAAAGCATTGTAGATGGCATCACAAATTACAGGAATCATTAACGAAAGGCTAGATTTAGATATTCTGAAAAAATGAGATAGGCTCCTCAAATTATTTCCTGTTGCAAGCATATAAATAATTGCTTGGAGTTTTATTTTGGCCGGTATTGCACTCCTCATGTGAGTATCATTTTTTTCTATAGCAGGCCTTACTTTGTTTAGTAACCAATTGAAGGATTCTTCTGTCATTCTCATCGAATCGCGATATTCTTTAAGATCTTCAATAGCCAGTTCTTTTAGCAACAAAGAACTTCGTCCAAGCATGGATCTGCGACTAATCCATTGACGCTCCCACATTCGTTTCGGTTTATTTATTTCAAATAAAATCTCGTCTTCTATTTGTTCCATAACTACAGTTTGTTATTTTGCGTAGAATAGAGCGTATTTGCCGACGTCTTTGCGCGTTCAACGTTCATTGTTCTGTAATGATACTCTACTGGAAGAAATGTAAACGTTCACTCGCATCGCACTAAAGCACTAAAGAACTTGCCTTTCAAGTTGTACTAAAATACTCTCCTAAACACTAAGATAATGTAAATCGGCCTTTAGGTATAGGAAAAAATAAAATCCGCTTTAATTTTTAATTTCCAACAATTTGTTAAACCGAGACAGCATTTTTGTTAAACGATTTTTAATAATTAATAAAGCGATGGTGAAAAGTGTAAGTTAAATTATCATAATTTGAGGAAAACACCAATACAGAATTTAGTGAGGAAATTGAAGAGCTAGCGAGTGGCGACATTGAATACTGATAATTTTGATTTTTGATTACCTATGGTGGGTGACAGACGTGGCTCGGTGGGTTAATTATTATATTATGAATTTTACGTCCAAGTGAAGTAAATATTTAAAATGTCGGATGCTATTGTACCCAAGGGTCAACCAGCTCCCGGTGACCCTGAAAAAAAGGGATGGCTTTTTAAATGGACTAATTATCTTAAGGGATATCAGCGAAGATGGTTCGTGTTGTCGAATGGATTATTGTCGTATTACAGGTAACATTAATTCATTCTTAATAATTATGAGAATATAGAATATTAAAAATTCTTTATACTGGTATAATAAATACGATTGTAAATATCGTTTCGTACAATTTAATAACAAGGTGAGTATAAATATATTTTCCTACTTTTAAGTTTCTTTTTTAATTACAGTGATTTAAATATATGTTTCATTTGTAGCCTTTATACGTATATCGTTTTATGGACAGGAACATTGTTAGGAAATTGAGAATTGTGAATAAATACATAACAATCTCCTAACAATATTTACCACACAAATACAAGACCTATTATCTTCTGACAAAACATGTATATATTGCAGTATAGGCGACTGTTTCAGCAGCTATTATTTTTTGAAAAATTTGCTTTGATACCTGATAAATTCAGGCGTTAGGTTGGGGAAATCCATATTAAAATGTTAAACTTGTTTAGTAAAGATTCATGTAAAAAATGTGTGATGTGTCTTACGTAGTTTGAAGAGCACCTACTTTAAACTAGGTAAGACACAATATTTTTATTTTTTACAAGGGTCTCTGAATAATATTATCATTTTTATTTGTTTTGGTGTATGTAGCTTGACCTTATCTAACTACCCAAAGTTAGCACTTTTAAAGGACTACTGTTCGAAAGATCTACTTGCTTAACAAATGTGTACAAAGTTTTAGCACTCAGAAACTCTTAGTTATCAAGAAAATACTTGCTTGTTTGACATATGTGTACACATTTGATATGTTGCAATTTGTTTATGTAATTTGTGTTGGTGTTTTATAAAATTTAAATATTTATATTTATGTATTCTGAAATTAAAAGTAAAATAAGTAATATTGCGTTAGATAAAAATATAATATTTATTACGGTTAAAACTATTTCCTAGTCAAAACTTATTTTGACCGACGAAAACATTTATTATGGTATTTTCAACCGACTTCAAAAAAGGAGGAGGTTTTGAATTTGACTGTTTTTATTCTTGTTACCTCAAAATTTTCTTTTACATAAACCAATTTTGATGATCTATTTATTTGAAAGCTGGGACTTCTCAAGTCTTTTAAACTCAGATAATTTATGTACTAACCATTTTAAGCAGAGTTCAAAAAAAGGAGTAGGTACTCAATTCGACTGTATTTTTTTATGTATGTTAACTCAGAACTTTTTCCTAGGTGCATCGATTTTGATGATTCTTTTTTATTTGAAAGCTGGTGCTTGTAATTTATATATCCCATATAAATTTGATCAAGATCTGACCAGTAGTTTTTGAGTTATCCTTAATAATGCATATATAATTGACTTCTGCTACATTGACAATGTTCTCATTTTATTTATATTGAAGTCGGTAGTACAAACTATTTAATTTTACCCTTTGTGACTAAAGAAGTTTTAGAAAAACTAGTTTAACTGAAAAATAAATTGAAGAAAATAATTTGAAGTAAATACTAGAAATGAGTTGGGGTGTGCCCGTACTTTAGGCTTAGCTCACTTTGCCTATCATGTAGAGGATGTCATGGGGGGGGGGGGGTCATGGTTAAATAGGGGCAAAAAGTTCTCATTACACTCCTAGGAGGTCAAAATGGCCAAAAACCAAAAATATGGGGGGTGGCTCGAACTTTATGCATAGTCAGTTTGAATAGCCTATCGTGTAGAGGATGTCATGGGGGTCATGGTTGGATAGGGGCAAAAAGTTCTCATTACACTCCTAGGGGATCAAAATGGCCAAAACCAAAAAATTAAAAATTCTTATTTCAGCTATAACTCCACCATCTTCGGAGGTTCTTACACAGTCTTTACTTGACATATCCGACTTGTTTGACTGAAAAATAATGGTTATAAGTAATTGTGACCAGGACTGGTAATTAGTTACTTTTGAACAGAAGTAGTAAGTAAAAAACAAGTATTTGATATTTTACTAAACATTTATTGCCAAGTTTAGGACAAACTAGTTTTTTCTAGGCTATACTAGTTTTGCGTAAGCTAGCATAACTAGATTACTTCTACTTCTTAGATCCTGTTGGGAAAAATAATATCATGGACAGTGGGTTTAGGCACTGCTAAAACTGAGAAATTGTTCATCCTGCTAGTCTTCGTAAAACCAGTTTAGTTTCGGAACAATGTCGCTACCTATCTCCTAGTTTGCTTCCCGCTGTTGCCTCTTACCACATGCACGGGATGATATGGGGTAATAGATATTCTTCCAGTGCCGCTTTATGGTCTTAATTGATGTAAAATAAAGCTCTGATGCAGTTTTTATGTGCTTTTAGAACTTATTTTTTCTTCTTCTTCTTTACTTTATGGCTACTTTGATAGAATTCTGCCAATGTCAAGTCAGTCATGGGAGTGAAAACATAGAAAGTAAAAGAAATCAAATATAATATAAATATAATCAAATAAAAAGAAATGAAATAATTTTTTTGCGGGAGGCATTCATGTCTATGGGCCACAGCATCCACTTACCACTAGGTGGACTGTGTGCTCGTTTGGTACCCTTATTCTATAAAAGAAAAATCTAATCAAAAGACATAAACACATTTAATATCCTGCCACCAAAAATAAATAGTATTGTAAAGTAACAGCCTATATACTACTGCTGGGCACAGGCCTACTCTATTCTGAGAGGGTTTTTGGGCAAGGAAATGTCTCCCGTGCTGCCCCAATGTGTGTTGGCGCACTAACATATCCTCAAAATACTTTTTTTCTCATTTCTCAGATGCAGGTTTTTTCACGATGTTTTCCTTCACCGCTGAGCACATGGTAAATCAGCACTTAAACTTGCAATTAATAATTTCATCAGTCCCAGCAGATATTGAACTTGGGTTGCTTGCTTACTGTGTAAATTTACAGCGAGTGCTTAGCCCCAGAACTACCACGGCTTAGTATAATGTTATAACTTAATATGATTAGTATAGATGAAATCTCACATATAAAAGATCAGTGCAGAGCGTTATGGCAAGAACATTTTGACGAAAGATCACGCGAGAAGGGTATCTGGTAGTGAACAATTCAGCCACAAATAACCTGTAATTCGTGGATAGATAGTCCACTAAATAGAAACTACATAAGGTCTATTCTTAGATTATGTTTGGGACATATTCCATCAAATAAGTTTGCTTTTTTAATGAAAAAAGTGCCATCACCAAATAGCGATGTATGCGGTATAGTTGAAGATGTTCAACATATTTTGATGGAATGTGTCCGGAATGAAGCAATTAGAAGGTTATGTTTTGGTAGTGATACGAATTTTCAGGTTGGAACCTTGGAACAGTATTTTGGCTTATTCTATGTCGGAAGAGGCTAAAATGCTGGTCAAGCTAGCAGACTTGATTCTGTGTAGGGAATAGATGGGGCTGTTTATGATTCCACTTATTCCTTAGATATGTTTACTTATAGTCGCACGAGCTCCTTGCATATAACTATTGTTAATATAATAGATTTTATGTTTAATTTTGTATTCAGTTGTAGTGATTAAGTCATTTATTTATTTATTCAAAGTGGAACAGCAAACAGCTACATTATATATATTAAACACAGGTAGTACAGTAACATTAATATGCGCAATAATGCAGCCCACAGTGCTGTTCACAGATTACCTCTTGAGATAGATAACGAAGACGCTAGGAGACCTGCAGCTGTACAAAACGTATTATATAAGTGTCAAATTATTGTCAGCAATGGTATTATAATGTGACTGATGTGGCAAAT